CAACGGCCGTGCGCCTGAGCCCTGCGGCCCCACCAGGCCCCGCAAGCAGGGTGCGCTGACCCTCTCTGTGCCTCGCAGGCCAGTACCTGTCCCTGGAGCAGGTGCGGGACCTTGTCCAGCCGTCCCCAGCCACGCTCATGGCTGTGCTGAAGTGGCTGCAAGGCCATGGTGTTGAGAACTGCAGGAGCGTCACCACCCTCGATTTCCTGGAGTGCTGCATGCCAGCGAGGTGAGCCCTGGGTGGGGCTGGGCCCCGCTGTGGTGGCCGTGCCATTCCCACGAGAGCAGGAGAAGCCAGACCCTGCCCCTGCTGTGCGGTGCAGGCCGGGTGACGGAGGGCTGAGCCGCATTTCTGCCCAGGTTGTGAGGGCTCCGTGGCCAAGAGCTGGCTGCCTGCGTGCCCCCCACGCTCCCAGTGCTGGGGGGAGTCGTAGCCGGTGATCTGCGGTACTGGAAACAAGGCGTGCATATCTGTTAGGTGCTTGGGCCAGCCCTGCACCTCCTCTTGCTTTCTGTGGGGCTGCAGAGTCCCCGCTGGAGGACTGGGGATAGAGTTGCGGGGGACCCTGCGGTGTCAGAGCTCTGGTTCGGTTTGGTGGTGGGAATTGGTCAGGTATGGAGGGTGCTCGTTGCTTTACAAGGTCAGCTGTGCTGGTGGGGAGCGGAGCTCGCCCCTGACTCGTCCTAGCAGCAAGCAGGGTGGAAAGGGTGTGGGAAGCAGGGCAGAGAACGGGCACGCTGCTGGACAGGCGCGCTCACAGCCGTCCCGGCAGCACGAGTCCTCACACGGTGGCTGTCCCTGTGTTGCAGCATGGCGGAGCACCTCCTGCCAGGGGCTGAGTTCCACCGCTACGTGAAGGGCCAGCGCAGCGTTGTGCGCTCCCCGCTCCCCTACGCTGTCCCCGAGGAGCTGGCTGAGCACGTTGACTTCGGTACGTCCTGCACAGGGGAGCTGACGCTGCCCAGAGCTCTCACTGCCTGGGGTGCGGGTGGGAGGTTGGGCATTGAGCAGCCAGGACGCCGTCTCGGTGGCCCGGAGCGGAGGCCGGTGTGCCCCCCCAGCCATGGTCCCAGCTGCCCCTAGCCCCCCTGAGGAGCTTTGTGCGTAGGATATAGATGCCCCATCCCTGGAAACGTTCCAGGCTGGGTTGGACGGGGCTCTGAGCACCCTGATCCGGTTGAAGATGTCCCTGCTCGGTGCAGGGGAGCAGGACTAGGTGACCCGTAAAGGTCCCTTCCAACCCAAACCACTCCGATTCTACGGACAGGCAGCAGCCAAAGTGAGCGTCTCTTACTGGTGCTCCTGGGCCTGGACGCTCAGTGCGGGGAGTTCAGGTGCAGGCTGTCTGCGGACGTGCAGCTGATTCTGAGGTGGAAAAACTCGGTCCTGTGAGCCCCTCTGTGTGGGCTGCGCCCCGCGAGGGGGGCAGAGGCTGCCAAGCTGCGGTAGCGGCCTGGCAGCGGGGAGCCTGAGCTGCGCAGCCTGGGAATACCTGTGAGGACTGGCGAGGAAGCCGAGGGAGGACTTGCCCACCTTCTGTGCAGCACTCGGGGCAGGTGCTGCAGGGCATGGGCTCCCCCGAGCCCCGCTGCAGGCCGGCGCTCTCGGACATGAAGCCTGAGTAAAGACGGTGAAGGGGGAGCCGAGGGGCCGCAATACCGTCCTCCCAGAGCTCTGGGCCCTGACAGCTGCTGCTTTTCCTGCTTGTTTGCACACCAGTGGGTGGTCTGCACCGGTTCCCCGCGGAGAGAAAGGTGGTCAGCAGAGCCTGGGCCAAGAAGGAAACGGAGTCAAGGCAGCTTTTTTTAGAGCGGCTTTCCACCTGGGCGTGACGCCTTCCATCATTCGTAAGAGATACAACATGACAGGAGGAGATGTCGGGCTGCTGCCAAACAACAGCCAGGCCTGTGCCCAGGTAACTGGTGGAGCCAGTCCAGGTCAGAGGCCCGTAGGCCGCGGGTTGGTGCTTCTGCAACGCTTGCTGTTCTGGTGGTCCCCGCACAGCTGTGGGGATTCCTCACGCAGCTGGTGGGAGCAGCCGGTGGGCTGGCATTTCACAGACCCGTGCTGGCCAACTTTCTAAGTCGGGAGAAGAAACTTACCTTGTTTTTTCAAGAGAAAATGAGAAAAAGCTTGTCCACTGCTTGTCCCCCCAGTTCTTGGAACAGTACTTCCACCAGGCTGACTTGGCTGAGTTTATGCGGCTCTTTGGCAGCAGCTTTGGCCACCGCTCTCAGGTTGACCAAGTGGTTGGGCACCAGGGCAAGGGCAAGGCTGGGCTGGAGGCCAGTCTGGACGTGGAATACATCATGAGCACGGGTGCCAACATCTCCACGTGGGTCTTCAGCAATGCAGGTACTGATCCCCCTCCAGAGTTGCCCCGTGACTGCTTCCATGCGTCCCACTTGCTGTAGCACCAACGCACCCGCCTGCTGTTAAGGGAGGCACTTGCTCTCTGCATAAAAAATGTCTGTGCTAAGTCTGCCCCGTGTCTCTCAAAGGGGAACGCCCGGGGGGGTGCACACAAACGGCACGCTGGCTGCGGTACCTCGCCAGAATGCTTGCCCAGCTGCTGTGGGCACGTACCTTGTGGGCTTCCAGAGTTGGAGCTGATGCTGGTTTCTAATAGCTCGTAGGGAAATCATCTTCCGTTGATTTGTGTAGTTGCTTTTGAGCCCATGTGAGCTTTCAGCGTCCAGAGTGTCCTGTAACAGGGACTTCCAGGCCTCGACGGCACAATGTAAAGCAGTCGCTTCACTCTGCTGTCTTTCTGTGGAGGGAGAGCATAGCAACTGTGTCATTTTACTTTTTTCCTGCTTCTTTGGGGTTGAAGCTGGTCTCTCACCCATGAATCTACCAGTAGAGTGAATAAAGAAGAGTAAGGCAATTTGAGAAAACAAGGTTGCAAAACAGCCTGCGCAAACACGGCTACGGTGCTGTAGGACAAAGCGTGATCTGTCCCGGATCAGACACTGCCTGAACAGGAGACGGAGCGCCCTTAGGACTGCCAGCTCTGTCTTCCTGATGGTGAAGGCGGGCGCAGCTCTGCGTGATGTTCCGCCTCATCCGTGCAGTTAGCGATGTGGAAAGGGTGCGGAGACAGGCAGTTACAGCGGCAGCTGGGAGAGAGAAGGGGCGGCTGGGGCTCTGCTCTCCCCTCCTCCTGGAGAGGGATGAGGGGCAGGAAGGGACCTGGGCAGATGGAGATGGAGCCCAGTGTTGTGGGTAGAGGAGCCAAGGCCTGGCTGAGTCTCGGAAGGGCTGCGTGGCTGCCGGGATGCCGAGGGTGCCTGCAGCCCTGTCACAGATGCTCAGAGGAGTGGATGAGCGTAGACCCCCTGCTCTGGGGTTCGGGGCGACCCTTCCACCAGCGCCGCTGGCAGAGCTGGAGCCTGGCGCCATCCACCGTGACAATCCCCGAGGTGAGCCGTGCTTGCCAGCAAGAGCTCACAGGAGAGCTGCAGAGCAGCGGTGCTGTGGATCTGCTCTCTGTAGGCAGGGCAGGAGCCGGAGGACCTTCAGCTCCTGGTGCCGGTGGTGCTGCTGAGGCATGGTGCCCCCCACGCCATCCCCCGCTTTCCCTCGAGCCTGGTGTCCTAGGAGCTGCCCCTGTCCCCCCTCTGTCTCTGCAGGGAGGCACGAGAGCCAGGAGCCCTTCCTGGCCTGGCTCCTGCTGCTCAGCAACATGTCGTCGCTGCCTTGGGTGCACTCCGTGAGCTACGGGGATGACGAGGACAGCCTGTCGCTAGCCTACATGGAGCGTGTAAACGCGGAGTTCATGAAGGCAGCTGCCCGGGGCTTGACCATCCTGTTTGCCTCAGGTGCGTGCTGA